GACCTTTAAGGAATTATGGCCAGGTCCTTTGAGGTGGGATAACCGAGCTCTCCATTATACACTAGGATTTTATTTTTTTTTCCGTGGGTCGATCACAGGGTGAAGAGATTGGGTCTTTTTTTTAAACTTAACTTACTCCGAGTTGTTGTCCTTTCAGTTGCTGATTTTTTCATGGGTTTACTTTTAAATAAGGAGGTTGGACCTTTTGTTTGGTCCCAGATCTTTTTTCTATCTGATTCATGGTCGGGTGAGATTGGTTTATTTGACATGTCTTTCATCTTTCGGACGAATGATCATTTACTCTTCGCCACATTTTTAATAATTAAAGAGGTTACCAGTTTGGATGTCAACACCAACAAAAGAAACTATAAACTGATCGTCCAATCGTTCTCACCATCAAAGTCGAGACTTTGCATGGTGACTTGTGTTACTCCCATACGCTCAAGTCATGATGATATTTTACTTGTTCTATGTGTGTATAAATTCGGTCGTTGAAGCTTATGAAAACACACAACAACAAGTCCACAAATCATATATGACAATAATACTCTTTGTCGATCTCCGACACGGGTTGACGACCTCTCTACTCTTGTGTAGTCTCCAATTTTCGTTCCATCTATTTCCCCATATATACATACCATTAGTTTATATAAACATTTATTCTTACCACTATAATCTCCATAAAATCTCAAATTATACCGCTCCATTATTCGTAATTAATTGAGGTTGACGCCCAACATCAACAACCATCACACAACTTAAGAGTGACTATTGCATATAATTGCCTTTTTAATTTTTTATCAAATAAATTGCGAAAAAATAAAAATTGCTTTTGACATTGAATTATTCATAACTTTCGCTCTCTACTTGTTCGCTCACACGCACAAAATGTAACTTCTCAATAAATGATTTGATGAAACCTGTAATTTACTCGTAAATAATGGGTAATAAGTCAATCAACGTGAATATGAGACGCGTATTTTTTTTGTTACAACTCTCTCAATGATGCTAGGAGCAAAAAGTAGGCCAAAGCCTCCATATTTCACTCACATCTCAAAATGAAGTAAAATAAGAGACCAAATCTTTTTTTTTTTTTTT